GAAAAGGAATTGAAAATGATCAAGATATATTAAATGCATGAATCAATTCCCCAAACAAACATCACTATTCTATATTTTAAATGTAAACACAGATATAATGTTTAAAAAGAATTGTGTTTATAGTATTCCCTCTGAGAACCGGATGCATATCATCTTTGACCTCTAATGTATTTCTGCTCAAAATCACGTGAGTATATCTTCAACACATGTCACATTACATCCAAATTGTCCTTTTATTTGGAGAGACTGCATAGTACAGTAGTTAAGAATCTTCAGGCTTTGCAGTTCAGTCTTAGAGCCAGGCCATCTGACTCATTTGCTAGTTGTGCATCTTCGCTTACCCTCCCCAAGCTTCAGAATCCTCATTTCTACAATAAAGGTGATGATATTGTTTACCTCACAGAACTCATAAACCAACTAGGTCAGTGACATTAAAGTTCACCAGGTACACAGGAAAAGTTCAGTGAATGATGGTGCATTGCTGTTATTATTTTTATTGTTGTGCCTGAACTCAGTTGAACTGAGTTGGAGCCTGAGTTCTCTCGGGTAATATATTTTGCCTTCTGCATCAGCTGCACTGTGGCTCCTGGCATACAGCAGCTTCTTGGTAGAGCAAAGAATGACTTTCTTCAGATTCTGAATAATTTGAAAACTATTATCTATACCAATAGGCACTCGAAAAACCTCCAGAACAGATACTTTTCTAATTTAACTTCCTGTACGATTTTTCCTAAGCCTTCTCAAAAGATTTGAAAGTTTCTAAAGAAACAGATTTCAAAAATACTACATTGAAATGCAGTATTTTGCAAAATTAATGTGCAGTAATAAACTATATTTTCAAACCCTGCAAAATAACAAAGAAATAGATTTCAAAACTTCCTTTAAGATATTTCTAGTATTGAATAAATTTTGTCATCAGGTTAACTTTCTTGATATTTAAGGTAAATCTCTCTTAATTACCATTTAAGTTTACTTGATTTTATTTTGTCCTTGGGAGTATGAAAAAGAAAAAACTATGGTCATGATTTTGTGAAACTGAGATTGCCTTTTTCTGGATTGACTATTCTAGGATTTATTACCCATTCTACTTAAGGTTATTTTTCCTATGAAGTTTAAGAACACAGAATTGAACCCATCTCAAGAGAATGTCCACATTTCACTATGTATCAGTTCACACAGTTGCATTTTCTTTCTCATTATTGGAATGATTAATGAAAGAGTTGCACCTTTCTTTTCCTGCAGAAAACCTACCACTTTGGCGTAGCACGCGTGAGGATCGGCTTCGGCGCAGCACTTCTCCAGGGTGGCTTCATAGCTCTTGGCAAGTCGCAGCAGCATTCCAGTAGAGAACTCTGGGTGCCTTCTTGAGTACTCATACAAGAATCTAAGGAAAATGAAGGCAGATTTAGTGAGACAGAGAGCCAGAAAAATCACATAATTAACCCAAAGAGTAACTCCTACTCTAAAGGTCTGGATGGAATTACATCATCCCATGTGGTAAAACTTGGTGATGAAGACCTTGGGTCTAGAATTAAGGCTTCTTCCATTCAATTTCTGGATCTGCCACTTATCTTGCATATTTCCTTAGGCAACGG